AAGGGTCCCAGGTTTGATTCCGGTCAAGGGCATGTATCTTGGTTGCAGGCACATACCCAGTAGGGGTGTGCAGGAGGCAGCTGATCGATGTTTCTCTCTCATCGATGTTTCTAACTCTCTATCCCTCTCCCTTCCTCTCTGTAAGAAATCAATAAAATATATTTTAAAAAAAGAAAAAGAAAGAAAAATGTCCTCATAATTAAGTTTTAAAATGATTAAGTGTGTCTACAGTAATTTTTGTAAAAGATTCCTATCCGTGGCTTCACATATACACTCGCCCAACTACCTACCAAGTCTAAGGACCAAAGGTAGCGATTTTCTAGGAGCAGGATGATAAGCCAAAAGGAAAAAAAAACAAAACCCTGCCTCCCCCACCCCCGTAAATGCAGAGCTCTAATAGCTAATGCTTATGAAACCCTTAGCCTGTGCCAAGTGCTGCTCTAAGTAGTTTTCAGGTACTGGGTTCATTTAATCCTCATAAACACCCTCTGAAGCTGATGCTATCACCACCCCATTATACAGATAAGAAAACAGAGGCAAGGAAGCTCATGCAACCTTAAGGTTGTCGGTAAGTGGCTGTGCCAGTTTAAGGATGGGGAGCGGCTGTGAGAGACCCCCATTTCCTCAGGTGAAATAAAAAAAGGCCAAGTCCAGGCTGGGAGGACTCTGGGACACAAGGGACATGGAGAACCCCTGCGTTTAGGCTACTGTCTTTATGTACCAGACCCCAGCGAGCCTCTGCCATCCACACGTCCTGCATGCCTCACCCCCTTGAAGGAGGAGATTCTATCAAGAGGCTCAGAAGGTTGAGCAAGATGGCCTTGTGCCAAGACAGAGTGGGATGAACCATCTCCCAGCACCTCTCTGCAGGTCTGGTCCCTGGGGCTCTGGCTGAGCTACTGGCAAAGGGCATGCATTTGGGTGTGCCCATCTGGGTAAAGGAAGGACTGCTTTTCATCCCCTCTTGTCTCTGAGCTGCCACCTCCTTGCCCCCAGGCATAGAAAAACTCAGTTTTGTTGGTCTCCTGGGTTCAGAATAATTCTCTTCATATCAACACTGTCCATCCCTTTATTTAGGCATTTTCTTTTTAAATATATATATACTAGAGGCCCCATGCACCGGTGCGGTTTGGGCTGAAACCGGCTCTCAAAAATCCCCCAAGGGGTCTTGGATTGTGAGAGGGTGGTTCTTGAGTGACGCACCCCGGAATCGGGCTCCCTCCTCTCTGGTTCCGGGTGCATCACCCAAGAACCGTAGCTGCCAAGTCACTGCAGCTCGGCAGCTCCTGCATTGAGCATCTGCCCCCTGGTGGTCAGTGTGCATCATAGCTACCAGTTGGACAGTCACTTAGGCTTTTATATATACATCAGAGGCCTGGTGCACGAATTTGTGCATGGGTGGGGTCCAGCCAGCCTGCTCTGATCGGGGCCGATCGTGCTGGCCGGGGACAGAGGTTGCAGAAGGTTGGCCAGTTGGCCCTGCCTCCGATTGGGGGTGGGGCTGGCCAGGGGAGGGGCTGCGGGCAGTGAGCCGAATGGCCCCACCCCCTGGTCAAACTCCCGGTTGAGGGGACAATTTGCATATTAGCCTTTTATTATATAGGATATATAGGGCTAGTGACCTGGTGCATGGATTCATGCACATTGAAAGGAAATTTATTAGAAGGTGGCCAGCAGGGCGGGCCTGGGTGAGATGGGCCAGACATGCCCTGGAGCCAACCTCCTATGGTCCCTCCCCCGTATCTGTGGAGGGAGTGGGGGTCCCTCCAGCAGGTGGGGTCCCTCGGCCTGGCCTGCGGGGATCAGGCTGAAACTGGCTTTCCAACATCCCCCGAGGGGTCCCAGAGTGTGAGAGGGCACTCTGCAAAGTTGCTGTTGTACAGGGTGTGGGATGCAAATGCAAGTGTGCAGTAAACCAGATTCAGGGCCCACAGTAGCCAGCAACAACATAACCCATGGCTGAAGGTGGTATTGCGCGGCCCCAGGAGGAATCAGGCTCCATCCTGCTCCATCCTGCTCCATCCTCTCTGGTTTCGGGGTGTGTCACCCGAGAACCACCCCTGACAAATACTTGGCAGCTCCTGTGTTGGGTGTCTGCCCCGTTGGTCAGTGTGCATCTCAGTGACCGGTCAGACGGTCAGACACTTAGTATATTAGCCTTTTTTATATATATATATATATATAAATAAAAGATATCCTATATAATAAAAGGCTAATATGCAAATAGACCAAACGGTGGAACAACCAAACAACCGGTTGCTGTGATGTGTGCTGACCACCAGGGGGTGCGCGGGGAACATGGCGGGCAGCAGCAGGCAGCAGAGCGTGGAACAAGGCGGGGCGCCAGTCGCTGTCATCAGGGTGAGCCTCTGGTAGTTACTGAAAATTCTCTGCTTCCACACGCTGAGGTCCTGCTGGGCTTCTCCACCTCCCCCTGCTCCTGAAGGGCGATTGGGGCCGGCAGCTGCCTCTCGCACCTACTGTCGGCGATGGCCCTGCTCGCACCCGCTGCCAGCACCAGAGCCGCCACTCACACCTACTGCCTGCGCCAGCCCCGCTCGCACCCGCTGCCAGCCCCGATCACCCCTGAGGGCTTCTCCACCTCCCTCTGCTCCTGAGGGGCGATCGGGGCAGCAGCTGCCACTCACACCTGCTGCTGGCACCGGCCCCAATCGCGAGGCTGCTGGCAGACAGGGGATTGGGGTCCACAGAGGGAGGGGCCGGCAGGGGTGCAAAGGATGGGCTGAGACCTGCCCCTGTGCCCACCACAGCCTCGTGGCCCACAGTTCCTTTCAATGATGAGAGAGAATCATTGATTGGCTGCCTCCTGCATGCCCCCTACTGGGAATAGAGCCCACAACCCCGGGTATGTGCCCTGGACCAGAATAGAACCCTGGACCCTTCAGTCTGCAGGTTGATGTTCTACCCACTGAACCAAAACCAGCCAGGGCTATTTAGGCATTTTCAACCTCCACTTCTGGGGCAGCCCTACTGAAGGGGCGGGGAGGGGGCTCTGGAAATGAAAAGAAAAAATGCTACTACTTGGAAAACGCTTTCATGCCTATTACTGCATTTGGTCCTAACAACGTTTTACTATTGAGAACATGGCTTTCCAGAGAATTAATTACTGCCTGGACCAACCTCTTGTTAGTCTCCCTCCCCAAAAATGCCACTACCCTTTGAGGCAGCCTTCAAACCCTTCCCTGGGAATCCCAGGAGACAGGAACTCAGACATGAGGCCTCCAGGCTCAGAGAGGACCCAGGTGAGGAAACTGGACAACGATGATATTAAATACCAGCCACGATGCCTGGTACTTCTATAGTCTTCCCTCTGTACAGCCGTATAAAGTAGGCATGATTATCACCATTCCAAAAAGAAGCTGAGGCACAGAGAGGTTAAGTAACTTGCCCAAGGTCACAGAGGTGTTAAAAGCGAGAGCCAGGACTTGGACGAGGCAGCTGGATTAGAGGTGGACAACCACAAGGTGTAGGGAGGGAGGGAGCAAGCTGGAAAGGAAGACAACAGGAGGGCACAAAACCCTCGGAGCAGGTAGCGGCATACCACTCCCAGCCCGCCAGGGGGCCACCCCGAGAAGGTGCCTCTCCTGTCCCTGGCTCCCAACCTCTGCTTGGTCACTGTCACAGCCTAGCATCTCAGAGCAGACCTCTCACCCGATCCGGCCTAACCCTCTCATTGTACAGAGGAAGACACGGAGGCCCAGAGGTGAAGCCACCTGCCGAAGACCAGGTCACTAACTGGTGCAAAGTGAGAATCAGAGGTGAGGACCCCAGCAGTTAAACTCCCCACGTGTCCGGAATACCGTGCAACTGCCCGCCCTCCACACTGCGCCAGGTCAGAGATGACGGACAGCGTGCCCTGCTAACTACTCTATGCCCACCACAGAGCCTGGTAAACACCCAAACATCTCCCGCTAGGGAAGATCTTTACCACCTTCCTACCCCAACCAGTTTTCCAGCTGTCTGTGCTGTGCAGCTGGGGAGCAGTGCCCAGTTTGCCCACACTTCTGCCCTCGGTACAATCTAAAGTTGCTGTGGCCAGGGAGAGTGCCCCTGCTGGGTTTGTTGGGGTACTAGCCCCAGAACCTGAACCTTCCACCCTGGAACTGGGCAACCCAGAAGTCACTGAACCCCCCAGAGGACGGAGATGACCAGGAACTTAGCCCTTGGGCAGCGCACCGACTCCTCCCACTGCAGCTTCCAGTTCCTGTGAACTCCGCCTTCCTGGCTTCTCACTTCCTTTTCCTCCTCATCCCCTTCCGCTGCCCTTGCAAGTCTGCAGCCTCTGCTCACGCCTGCTCAACAGCACAGCACGCCCCGGCGAGGTCACTCTTCCCACTGATGGGAGGCCGAGGTGGGCTGGCCACTGCTCCTCCGCCCTCCTGTGCCACCTGGCAGTGCCATCCACACAGCTGGCATTCCTGCTGCTGCCTCACAGGAATGGGCTGGTAGCGGACCCCCTGCCTGTCTGCCTCTCCAGCACCTGACCTGGCCCTCACTGAGCAGAGAGCCCTCCCGGCCAGCTCTACCCTCCCTGCCTCTCCTGGACATGCTCGCGTCCTCTCTCCTGCCCCAGCGCAGGTTCGGGAGGGAGAGCATCCAGGCTCCATGGAAACAGGAACCCTCTCGGAGCACTCGGGACGTTTGTCCTACGTACAGTTCTAGCACCTCTCGTGAACTGACATTTAATTCTCACAACAACCTGAGGCACACAATAGTATTCTCCTTTCCCAGATAACTAGAAAAACCAAGGCACAGCAAACTCTAAGAGCTTTCTCAAGTCCATAAAGACAGGAGGGGGCAGAGGCGGGCAGCGGGTTCCGGAGACCACACTCGGGCTGGGATTTGAATCGTGGTTCAGTCACCGCAGAGTGCAGTGCCCGGCCGCGGGTGGTGGAGCCACAGCTGGGTCTGCAGGACTCTGCCCCGAATCTTCAATGTGGCCTCAGGCTTGTCCTCTCCCCCCGCCCTGTCAGAGCCCAAGAGACATGCGTGGTCCAGAGGCCAGGTAGGTACAAAGTCTGGCCAACTCAGAGCCTTCACTCTCCCCCGTCCTGCTTCTCCCCCGGGGGAGAGCTTACCTGAGCATGTAGGGCGGCGGCGGCAGCAGCAGTGGCAGCTGGGTAGGTGAACGCAGCGTGTGAGATAGCCGGGGTCAGCTCGGTGGTGTACAGAGGGTAGGGGGCCCAGGCCTCTGGGGACGTGGGGATCAGAGCAGTCCCCATCAGGTCATCTACAAAGGGAGACAACAGCCCCCGTCGTCAGAACACTCCCCTCTGCCACCTCATGCCAAGCAGACAAGGGGACTCAGCGCTACGGTTGAAGCAGAAGCTCCCGTCAGGTCAGATACCCCTCAAGACCAGAGAAAGAAGCCGTGTTAACTTGGCCTGGCAGGGAGAGCGTCTTGTCTGCTTCGAGAAGCTCTCAGACGGGCCTCCGCCCATCTCAACCAAGAGAAACCAGAGAAGGCTGCAGGGAAGTCTGATGGCTCAGCCCGTCCGAGGCCCAACAAAGGCTGCAGGGAGGACGGAAGCATGGAGACCCTACGGAGGTGGCTGTGGATGCAAGCAGCCTCCTGGAAAAGGGGGCGTGCATGCGGAGAGTCCCCCAGTGAGAATCTCAATGCCTGCTCTCTGTACAAACCCCACGGGGGCCCGGAGCCCAGGCCTAGTGCAGGGCAGCAGGCTGCAGCTGAGCGCCACTCACAGGGGTCCCGTGCGATGAAGTGTGCTCCGAGGGCGGGGTGAGCGCTGGTGGGATTTGGTGTAGCCATTAGCTTGTTCTTGGCCATCTTGGTATTGGCTTTGGCAAACTCTAGCCTCAGGGTCTGCGGGTTCTCGGGATCAAAGCGAATACCCTACATCGGAAGGAAAGGAAGGGAAAGACTTTACTCTGTAGAACCCAGACTGTCCACTGCAGTGGGCACAGAAGGGCCCCAGAAATGTTCTTGCCCGAAAGACTTGCCCACATGGGGCCACGACAGAGGACATGCTGCTCCAGCCTTGTGAGTAGTGACGTCTGGCCAAGACAGCACAGCCAAGGACGCTGCCCCAGGGCGGCTGGGAAATAAGGTCTGTGGGCCCTCTCCTTGGGCGTGGGGTGGGGGAAGGTTTGCAGAAGACAGAGCAAGGACACCCCATGCCGAGGGGACTGTGGGTCAGAGAAAGACCTGTTCGCCATCTACTCACATTCAATGCATTCTTGGCTGCTTCTGCTCCTGCCCGGCTGTCAAAGATCACAAAACCAACAGGCTAGGAGGAAAAAGAGAGAACACCCTTGTATCTCTCCCAACATCCCATCTGCCCCGCAAAAACAAAACAAAACACCAAAATCCCAAAATAATAAAAAGCAACTCTTGCCCATTTCCACCCTAAGCTCAGTTGGAACAACAGAAGGCTCTGCACCAAAAGTCTCCAACCCAGGTACCACGTTGTGGGAAGTGATGCCAGCAGAGCTTTCTCCCACAGCACTCAACATCACCCTTCCAATAATTTTTTTTTTTTTTTTAATGCATGCAGGTAATTAAGAGTAAGTTCCAGCCCAGTCAGCATGGCTCAGTGGTTGAGCGTTGACCTAAAAAGAGGAGGTCACAGTTCGATTCCCTGTCAGGGCACATGCCCAGGTTGTGGGTTCGATCCCCAGTGTAAGGCATGCAGGAGGCAGCTGATCATTGATCCTCTCTCATCACTGATGTTTCTCTCTCTCCCTCACCCTCTGAAATCAATTTTAAAAAAATTATATATATATATATATATATATATATATATATATATATATATATATATGTAAGTTCTGATGTTTTCCCAGGAAGGGGACTCCAATATATCAAGTGCCCAAGGAAGTTCTAGATTCGAACAGGTTGAAACTTCTCCAACTTCATTTTGCCAAGGTTCAGTCCAGACCCCAAGTGGCCCTCAGCCTCGAGCCAGGAGTCAGAGAGGGAGGACCAGGAGCTGACTGGTAAGAAGAGGGGGTCTGTGGAGGCCACTGTTTCATCAGCCCAGGACAGAAACAGGAATAGGGAGCAGGTCTCAGCTCCCTCACGACAGAGTGAAAGGCACAGACTTCATCCCAAGCTCAGCAGTTGGGATGGGCTGGGAGGGAGAAAAACCTTGCAGAGAAATTACCTGTCTCGAGGTGAGCTTGATCAGGGACCCTTCATACCCCTGCAGAGAGAGGCAGTCATTAACAGGGAAGGTCAGAGCCACTGCTGTGCTGTCCCAGCCACCCACTCCGCCCTCCACCACTGTTGGGCGCCCTCCATTCTGCATCCTGCACCACACGGAGTAGCACGTGGTGGGCATCGGTGGTAGTAGCCATCGCTTCACGCATAAATGCCCATTTGCCCCACTAGCTCGTAATCCAGACGCACAGATCTTACCTCGTTAGGTTTTCTCCTCTGCAAACTGAAAAGGCTACACTGAGTCTCAAAGATTAGTTCTACAGCAAAACCTATGGAGATTCTCCATGTCCCCACTTTACAGATGAGGAAGCAGAGGCTGGGAAGGGCTAAGTGATCAACAGAAAGCAACCTGTGAATCGACAGGTCTGTGATCACAGTTTCTGATGCTCTGCCCAGGTCAGCGATTCATTCCTGACGCTTCGCCTCCATCCTAGGCTCTGCCCGTGGGTGGCGGGGCCCACACTCACCTTGAACGGCCTGAAGAGCAGGTAGAGTTCTCTGGGTTTAATGTCCACAGGGAGGCCACTGACGAACAGTGTCCGGACCTGGAGACAGAAGGACAGGAATGATGGCCCTTCCTTCTAGAAGGAACTAGAATCCTCCCAGAGTTTAGGGAGGAATTTGGTATTTCCTGAGACAAATGAATACTCAGAGGTTCCTAGCATTTAACTTTTTGTTATTGTTGTTAATCCTCACCCAAGAATATTTTTCCATTGATTTTTAGATTTCTATTTATTTATTTATTTTTAAATATATTTTTATTGATTTCAGAGAGGAAGGAAGAGGAAGAGAGAGAGAGAAACATCAATGATGAGAGAGAATCATTGATTGGCTGCCTCCTGCATACCCCCCACTGGGGATCGAGCCTGCAACCCAGGCATGTGCCCTTGACTGGAATTGAATCTGGGACCCTTCAGTCCATAGTCCTATGCTCTATCCACTGAGCCAAATGGCTAGGGCTGATTTTTAGAGAGAGTGGAAGGGAGTGGGGGAAGAGAGGGAGAGAAGGAAATGGAGAGAATAGAGATGTGTGTGAGAGAGAGAGGTGATACCCTGACTGGGGCCAGGTATCACACCTACAATCAGGTATGTGCCCTTGACCAGGAATCAAAGCCGAGACCCTTCAGTGTGTGAGCAGATGCTCTAACCATTGTGCCACCAGCCAGGGCACAAGCATTTAACTTTTCAAAGCCCTTCCTGTACACTTTTCTTTCTCTAGGTTCATCCTGCAGGTGTCACTCAACAAGCACCTGCTGAGCACCTCTGTGCAAGACTGTCTGCTGTCGAACAGCTGCAAGAAGAGAACGCCCTATTTAATAAGCACACAGATCACGGATCCCTTTTCAGATCAAGGGCCCCTCTGACCTCCTAAGCAAACTATGTATCTTACCCCCCCCCCCCACCACAAATGCACAAGTTAAAATGTATATATTTTGTAGCAGATACCCATAGACCCAGGTTGAGAGGTTCCATCTGGTCCAGGGGAGAGGCAAAGATGTAAATGGAACCTAAGTCCTATGCTACACCCTGGGATGACTTCAGCAGAGGGCCCACGACTGTCACATCCATCCCCTGGGCACTGCTCCTGATGCTAGATGTAAGCTCTTTAATGGCAGGGATGTGTTGTTTTCTCGCCTCTATGTCCAGCTCCTACTATGGTGCTGGTACTAAATGTTTACTGAATCAGAGACCGGGGGTTAGGAGTCAGGGATGGAACAATTATGCTGGGTTTTGAAGAATGAGTAGGATCTTGCCAGCTTCAAATGAGGCAGATGATGCTGTGAGTTACAAGGCTTGCCCTCACCATGGTGACAAGTTGGTGTTGAAGCCAGGTCTAGACACCAGATTTCTATCCTGTGACTCCAGCCAAACCCAACTTCCTGAACGGCATGATAGCCTGTGGGACCCAGCCAACAGCCTTGTTAGAGACAATGGATTGAATCAGGAACCTGGGGCAGCCAGGCAAAGTTACACCCAACACACACACACGCACGCACACGCACATCCTCAACAGAGCCAGGAGTGACTACGGACCCAGCATGGATAGCTGCTGGTAGCCAGTGTCACCAGCCCCAGCCCATGCCTGATAACAAATGGGTAAGGACACGTTTCTTCACTCACATGAGTTTTTTGCCAAGAAGCATACCCTTGCCATTTAGAGCACATTGTTCCTTTCGGTCATGCCTTTCCCGAACCAGATATGCCTCTGCTCCCAGGCCTGGGGGAAGGTTCTGTACACGTCACAGCCCGCAGCTGTGTCCCCGTCTGCACGGTGCTCAAGTGCTGCCCTGCTCCCAGAAGCACCTGGGAGAAACTGGACAGCCGAGGCTCCCGGGTGGGCTCCGGAGGGCACCCTCCTCTATACGCTGCCCTTTGGTGGGAGGGCCTTTAACCTCCCTGTAACCCCCAAAGGAGAGTGACCTGCTGGGGTCACCAGCTTTTCTTTAAAGGCAGCAGACCCGGAACCCACCTGGGCAGATAGAGGTGATGCTTGCTTCTGGGTGCCAGGACTTGAGCACCCAGGCAGGACCCTGCTTCTCCCCCTCCCTGGGATGGAGGGGACTTGGTTTGGGTCAAAGATGCAGAACCAGAGCCACCCCACAGAAACCTCTGCCTCCGTTCTCCCCAGGGGCCACCCATTTCACCCCGGCTAATTTTAAACCCTTCCTCAAATGGCTCCTTTCTGGCCAGACCTCCCCAGAGGCCCCCTTAAATAGCAAGTTCTCAGCACCAAGCTTCCTGCTGGGTGGGGGAGGGGAGGAGGAGGGATCTTTCCCTCCTTCCCAGCTCAGATCCTGGTTTCCAGCCTTCCCTCTGGGCCGGATGTTTCCAGCCTTTTTCTTCTGGTTTCCATCATTTAGGTTCTGAAGTGTTCACAAGGCCACAGTATCGCTCCCGTCCTGTCCCTGGCCACCTCTCAGAAACAAAAGGAGGCCAAGGCAGCTACGGGCGTGGTGGCGGGTCCCTGTCTGCCAGGCCACAGACCCTTTGCTGGGATATCCAAGTCTGGGAGGTTAGGTCACAGGAAGCCTGGCCTGACTATTCTCTCAGGTTCTTACTTGATCTTAGTCACCCCAGCAGACGACGGGCTCCCTGACTACCCTCTGTGCAGGCAGGGAAACTGAGGCCCAAAGGGCCTCATGCAGCTTAGTTCACCCAGGCACCCTGACTCAGTCTTCGGTGCCACCAGCAATCCGTCCGGCTGTGGGGACAGATGGAGTGGCACGGGGGTGGCCTTGTTAGCCTCATGTAGGTAAAGTATTGCCACACATCCATTCAGAAGCTCTTCCTTGGGGACTCGTTTAGGATGACAGCAAAGCTGGAGCAGTAGGCAGAAGAAACTGGCGAAGCAAGGTCGAGGGGGCATGAGCTCAGCCCCACGCTGAGAGGGGAAGAGGTTCCAGAGCCCACCACGCCTCTGCCTTTCGGCTTCAACTCCCTCTGGTCCTGCCACAGCCCATCTCCTCCGGGTCCCCGGCAAGCTCCACGCGCTCCAAAGGCAGCTGCCCGTGCTGCCTCTCGGGCCACCCCTCCCCAGTTCCTTGACTGAAGAGCACCCACCCCTCACATCCCTCTACTTCCTCACTTCCCCTCCCTTCCTCTGAAGTCCTACGGGGCCCTCAGAACCCCCTGCCTCACATCGTTTCCACCCGTCTGAGTTTATCCTGGACTCCAAAACCCCACAGAAGGGAGCCACGTCTCAAAACTTTCCTACCCTCCAAAGTTCCCAGAGCCAGGCCTCAGCACCTGCACTGTCTCCATGCGCCTCGGTCCTTCCAAAGGAACTCCCAGCCCGAGAGATGTGGCCCAGCGTGGCAGAGTAATGCCATAAATGGCAAAGACAACAGGCTTCAGTTAGGCCGCTGTTTGCACCCCAGCTTAAGGCTTGGCTCGGGGAAGATGCCTCCTGCCTCCAAAGCTGTACAACACGGATACCACCTACCTCCAGGATGAACAGTTCGCCTCACTCCATGTCTGGCACTTGGGAGGCTCAACGAACTGCACATTCACCTCACCTATCAGGTACCCCAAGCCTTTTACTTATAAGTGCCTAGTGAGGCGGGGTCGGGTCTGCTGGAGCTGGCAACATGGGTGAGCTGGCAACATGGGTGAGACGATCTTAGGTGGTCACTGGCTCCTCTTCCTCTTTCCCAGGGAGGTAATATTTGAGGTGAAGGCACAATGGAGATGAACTACAACACCCTCATTTTACAGATGAGGAAACTGAGGCTCAGAAAAGGAAGGTAACAAAGCAAGGTGACTGCACAGTCAGGATCCTTTAGGGACGGCTGGGACAGAGACATGCAGTTACTTCTCCAAGGCCTGGTCGACTAGTGTCCCAGGCCAGCCTTGGAGACCAGTCCCATGCCACTTGCTGGTGCCAGCCTCACAGGGCTCAATGTTCATCATGAGGTGGGTGCAGACACCAACAGCTGATTGATGCCAAGATGAAAAGACCAACCAGAGAGCCCATGTCCTGCCTATTCCACAAATTTATTATAAGAATTCAACACAGCCCTGGCTGGTTTGGCTCAGTGGATAGAGCGTCGGACTGAGGACTGAAGGGTCCCAGGTTCGATTCCAGTCAAGGGCACATGCCCAGGTTGTGGGCTCAATCCCCAGTTGGGGGCATACAGGAGGCAGCCAATCAATGATTCTCTCTCATCATTGATGTTTCTATCTCTCTAACCCTCTCCCTTCCTCTCTGAAATCAATAAAAATATATTAAAAAAAAAAAAGAATTCAACACAAAAGTGTTTTCAGAATTTGAAGGGAGCATAAGGGACGGTTCCCACAATCCCAGGTACTAGAAGTCACCACACTCGTTTACCTGGCCCTTCTCCTTCTGGACCTCAGCCCTTCTCCAGAAGTGCCCACACAACCCACGGGATCATATCCTTTCCATCCTGAAACAGGGAAAGCAACCACAGCCCTTTTCAAATGGCCATCTTCGCCTGGCCAGGGTGGCTCAGTGGTTGAGAGTCAATCTATAAACCAGGAGGTCACGGCTCAATTTCCGCTCAGGGCACATGCCTGGGGTTGTGGGCTCGATCCCCAGTGGGGGGCCTGCAGAAGGCAGCCAATCAATGATTCTCTCTCATCACTGATGTTTCTATCTCTCTCTCCCTCTTCTTTTCTCTCTGAAATCAATAAAAAAATATATATTTTTAAAAATGGTCATCTTTAGTGGCAGATATGAGCAGACAGTGCCAGACCACAGCCATGTCCTAAGCACAAGGAGATATGTTTGGGATGGGGTAGCAGGGGTCCTCAAACTACGGCCCGCGGGCCACATGCAAATACAAATATTGTATTTGTTTCCGTTTGGTTTTTTTACTTCAAAATAAGATATGTGCAGTGTGCATAGGAATTTGTTCATAGTTTTTTTTAAACTATAGTCCGGCCCTCCAACGGTCTGAGGGACAGTGAACTGGCCCCGTTTAAAAAGTTTGAGGACCCCTGGGGTAGAGCGAGGACTGGGGGAGAAATGGAGAATCCTTAGAAGTCAGTGAAAGGAGAAACTTGCTGAGGAACAGCTCCTCAG